GGAATAAAGACTGGAATTTATTTGCGCATAGGTTGCCGTTTTCCGCAACTGGGTGGTTTAGATGGTAAATTTATTATTTTAAAACAGACTAAATTTAAAAAAATAAATAGAGAAAAAATTGTTACAAATAAGTAACTTTAGACAATACAAATTTAATAAATGTAGTATACTAAGCGATAGGATCATTGGTATAAATATTGATTAAATTTCATGAGATAAAATATCTACTTGTAAATTTTAACAAACAAAATTTTACAAATAGTCTGTCGAGATAATAAATGTACTTCTTATTATCAAATTTTGCGGAATCTAAATATGCATTTCCTAGAAATAATGGAGTAGTATGCAAAATTTATTAGGTAATTTTGATCAGTATCTACGATTTACTCATCTAGCATTTTTTTATCCAATTTATTACAAATTTATTTTCCATCAACTCTAGTGGATTTACGTCATAGAGATTTGTTTCCAACTTCAATTGTTTACTTAAATTATTAGTTTAATAGGTAAATTCTAAATTTAACTATACCTGTTATAAATTATCTAATGAAAGGTACTAGTAATCAATTTTTATATGTAACGTTTCGTCTCTCCAGGTCCGTCATCAACTTCATTTTTTTAAATACGACCCTGGAAATTTTAGTACATTTTTTGCAAGCCTTCATGCCTCAGCCCTAACCAGATTCAGACGTTTTGTCACCACCCTCCCCCCCCTCCTTGTTTTACCCGCCACTGAACAAATTGTGTTGATTTCTTTTCAGATTTTCATAAAGAACATAAAAAATTATGAGATTGAGCCAAATTTCATTAATATATCTCTACGTGTTTGGGAAATATTAATTGAAAACCGTCATCAGGAAAAATAGTTTTACTATTTTCTTTTTTAATATTTCAATAGGACTCAGTTTAAGGTATCAATTTCCGAAAGCCTTTTGACTTGTCATGTGATATTTTGATGACTTTTTGGTTTTCCTGCAGATATATTTATATATGACTAGTTTAAAATAGAGTTCACTATTTTTAATATAAAGTACTGATATCAGGCTACAACTAAAATAGAATGAAAATTCCATCATCGCCTGGTTTTTTCAATAACATAAACTGGAGTTATGTCATGTAGACTTAACGAGAAAAGTTAATTATAACGTATTCTTAATTATTTCAATCTACATAGTGTTGTGTAAATTATGTAGTGAAATTTATGCCAAAAGAGAAACATTCCAGGAAAAACCGTTGAGAAATTTAGAAACTTAAATCGCAATAATAAAGTATTATCTAATCGAGCATTTGTGACCGTTATTCGGCTTGTTCGGTAAGGTTTCTTCCATCAATTAAATTTCGAAAGTAATTCCGGGAAAAAATAAGAGCGGGTGACTGGCGCCGCGTCAGACCAGAGGAACTGGACGCCTCTGTCTACACTCCGACTGCGCGACTGTAGGTCCAGGGGCGTACTGGCTCGCACACATCGAAATCAAACACGTTTCAAATTACGTTTAAATTTATGATGAACATCAAATATGTTCTTTAGTGTTCGTCAGTTTTAACACATTTTAATTCATATTGACGATTATCTGACATTCGTCGTTGAAACTAATGATTATAATCAGATTCAAATACTTTCAACTATATTTCTTATGTTCGTACTGTTTCCTTGTGCACTGGAAACTTAGTATTTTGGTCTTAGAGCATATACTAGATGGAGGAAGCACGCTCACGGCTACAGTGTAGATGAGTGACAGAAAGAGATAGTTTGGTTACTATCTTTCTCTTTCACGCAGGCACGTGATTGGCTAACGCTCGGGCGAAGGGCGGAATCTCCCTACTCTTCCTCGACTATTATAGAGAAGAAGAGAGAGTGTGTGTGTACCCAAACTATTGCCCTTTCTCTCTACAACATCTACATTTTTTAATATAATACGCGGTGTTTTCTCCATGTAGTATTATGCTCTATGATTTCGGTTGAATTTAAAATTTCCTGAAGGATTAATTGCAAATAATAAGTTAGTGACCTTGAAAGTGCGATGCTTCTATGATAAAACCTTTTCTCGAATTTTTTTATAGTTTTATTCGTTTACATTTTTTCTAGAATCATTAATTTTATACTAGTTCAGTTAGTGTATAGTTATAGTCATATACCTCTGTATTCGTCGTGGCTAAAGATTATTAGAACTTGGAACATACCTAATTATGTTTTTATGCTAAACTCTTTAGTCTGTGTCGGTAGCAGCTATTGCATTTTTAAATTATCATCATAATTTGGCGATACAAATTAATTTACGCGCCCAATCAGCTGTTTTTTTTTTTCAAGGCTATAATGTGGTGAACATCGTTGTTGTTTTCTGGTAGTGATTTTGAGATGTATTTTGACTACTTTCCTTGTGTTTGGGTGTCATTTGTTTAATTTAAGCAACGAATTGCCTCATTTTGAGACACCTTTTCTTAGATGTGATGAATAAACGTAACTTCCACTATACTCCGCGGTCGAAATTATAGAAAGTGACTCATCGCTAGCTTTTGGACTAGTAAGGGGGATGAAGCGTGCCAGGAACGAAAATCCATTGGCGTGTCTGCGTAAAAGGCAACAAGATATAGGAAATATTGAAAAAAGTTAATAAAACATAACATCTAATATTTTTTTACGGTTTGCTATAACCGACACTTTGATCCATTTTAGTTATTACAGCATTTTAAAACGTCCCAGTTGTGTTTTTTTAATTTATAAATCTATTATAGCCATGGAATTAGACCCCTCGTCTACGCTTATGCTATGACGTTTCTCAGGACGGGTAAATATAGACGATTATAGATTTTATCAATGTGCGTAGCGAGCGGCACAAAGATAAATAATATTGAACCGTATAAAAATCATTTTATATTTTATACGCATTATGGTAATAGTGTTTTTATATTATGTCTGAGCCACTCTCTATAATTTCGACCGCGGAGTATAATACTGTGGGCAATGTCAACAATTAGACGGACATTCGTTTATTTTATTTAAAAAATGTAGGTACCTATAATTTTACAAAATATAGGTACCTATCTAACTCTTAAAAAATTAGGATTGATGAAATGACAATATAACAGCTATAAAAATTTGATCTTGCAGAATGCGAACGTAAAACGCGGTAGGTATTTTCTTTAACTGACTACAGATTTATCTTAATAGTGACCGAATAATGATATAGAGATATAACGTTGTTAACAATCCTAAGATACGCCACTGGCGTTTCGATTAATTGCTTTTGTTTTTACAACCACAACGGTTCACTGCAATTATTTATAGATGAAGAGCCGCGTTGGTCCAGGGATTTACGGGTCCTAATTACGGCCTATTACAATCCTGGCGTGTGCGTAAGTGTATAATTTGCACATGCAAAGGATACAGGAAGCCTGCGGTTAACTATAGTCACGAGTGTACCTTAACAAACAACGAAATGTGTTTGGCGTGCTTATTTTTGCGCCTACACGTAATCCATTTTCAGAAATTTACCCTGCAAATGTGTTCGGCATGTGTTAAACACACCAGGTATCTGTTAAGCAGTTCAATTAATTTTATATCACATTTTGCTAAATTACAGGAAAATATGGTCTCTAAATATTTAAAAATGAAATAATGTTTGAAACTGGTACGTTTGTTTAATTGTCTTTTTGATCTATTATTAAAATGCTCCATATAAGTATTTGTTAACTGAATATAATCTTACATTTGTTAAATATTTCCAATAATTTATGTAAAATTAGATTTTTATAAAATGATAAAATATAAATAGTATGATTAAACTAGCATATACAAAGTATTTTCATCGGTGTTGATATTGCTATCCATTAGTCATAAAAAGTTCATTAGGAGACAACCTTGCTCAATAATTAATTCGTATCAAGTTAAAAATAATCACTTGGGTGTGTTTACTCATTCTTAAATCTCCTTATAATCTTACAATTAGAAGTAAGTAATCGAATGGACGGTATGAATCATTGATCTTCCGTTTATCGTTGAGTTTTTCGTAAAAACATTCTAAGCAGTAAATCAGCATTACTCATCTTATGTTTTAGGTAAATCTTTGATTACATCAGTGATAAATATCAAAAACGCATCACGATTATAATTAAATTATACCAGCCGTTAATATGGTGAGTTGCCAAATATAGACGTTAAGATATACATGTTACGTGAATAAATGGTTGCCTATCTGTGGTAGAACTTTATATTAGTGTACTCAAATCAGCAAAAGCATTTTTGAAATGTTTCAAAGAATTTTGTCTCAAAATTCTTATTATGTGTCAGTCATAGTAAAGAGATAAATACTGTTTACACAGGAGCGGCTTAAGATAAAATTTTAACCCGGGTGAGAGGGTAGTTTGGCGCCCACTTTCCCTTAAAACTAAAAATTATCTCGGTGGAGAATAATTAGAAAAAAATAATCGCTTGGCGATAACAATATAAGGTATATACTCTATTATAGTATAGCCTACACTATACTGTGTAGGTATGTTACTTACGTTGTAATAAGAAAATTATTTTTCATGTTTGAATTTTCAATTTTTTCCACCGATTTGGCGCCCCTCTCGAAACGACGCCTTAAGCCGCCCCTGATTCTACAGAGCCTTCATAAATATTTACAAGCCACGTGCTCGACGAGCTTAGCCAACCAACATTGCAGGGCTGGTACTGGTAACGAAAAATCCCTAAATCTTAGCGTCACCTATATTAATGATTTGTTTGCAATGAACAATGACCAACCGTTATGTCTATGCCTGAGACATCTTGTGAAAAATTACTTCGATCATAGCTTGTGAAACAGAATGTTGTATTTTAACCTAATCTTGGTCTTATTGTTTTAACAATTTTAACTTTTACCGAAATTTAATTGCCAACATGAAGGAAATAAAATTATTAGTCCAAACAAAATTACTGGTCACGTGGCACTTGAATATCGTTGGTTATTTATTGCCACTGAATGATATTTATGGGTTTGAATGAAACAAGGGTGACATATATAACAACAAACTTTATGAAATAAAAAAATACAAATAATCACATTGTCATATCAGGTCGATAAAATAAAAATAATATTTGTATATATACACGCACACACATCAACAACATGAACCTAAACCAATGCACCTATTTGAAAATTAACTAGTCTACGATCGATATTGAGCAGTCTTAAGATTGGGCGCCCTCTGAGGGCTACCACCACCGATCGTTCTGCTGAACAAACAGTTTGATATGCAGATTACCGGGGCGAAGAAATGTAGAGGAATATCCCTGAAAAAATTATGGTTATATAACTGTAGTTACATTTTGATTGAATTAAATAAGTCGTGTGACAGAATACAAATGCAGATATTTCTAGAAATGATTTCTTTTAATGGATAAAAAATGTCCATCTACTTACCCAGAGCTAGCGACAGGGCTTGCTTCATTTCCACTTATTATGAAAAATGGAAATAAAATTGAAAAAATGCATCCGCTGAAAATAATTAAATATTAATATTACATAATTCGAAAGTACAGTGCTGCAATATTCTACCCACAAGTGATTCTCTGGCCAGAAATAAAAGAAATTCATATGAATGTCTGTCGTTTTTTAATTATTTGCATTTATTTTTACACATTTTTCAAGATAAACTATTCAAAAACGACTGAATGTACAGATTACTGTTCGAAAAAACTAAGATACTAAATTAAATAGTTTGATTTTATTCGAACTTTTGATAATGAGGTAGATAGATTTATTGAAATATTTGGAATATTACTAAGAAAAATATATAGGGCATGTTTTTTTAACCAATTCTCATTCTGTGACAAGACAAACAAATGAAAATAACTAAAAAAATAATTATTATCACCCTGCATCTCAAAAACGAACCATTTGCGGAGGATATATACTTTTTTCTTATTTTTAATTAGAGAATATAATTTTGTCACTGAAATATTGTAACACCCTGTATACATCCACATTATACAATCACTAATAAAACCATTGAAACTAAAAAAAATCTTTACCAAAACAACTCAAGACACGATGAAATACTCGACTTTCAAAACCAGAGGCAAATCCAATAATAGACTACTACCAGGAAAACTAATATTCAAAGAAAAAAATATTATAAACATCGATATTTGATCATTCTAGTATATGCTCATATTTACACAAATTTGCGTTTAACTAGCCCACCCACATTTCATTTTCAACCACTTATACTAACCTCACAATCCAAGACTCGGGAAGTTGAGTGAAGAACGCCATGGGCAGTCCAAACCCAATGAAATATGGCCAATTTGTTTCTATAAAGGACAACCTCCTGTGTATCTCCCACCCCATGTTGAACCACTTATACTCAAAAGCATACAGAGAGTACAACATACACATCTGTACAAAAGACAAAGTGTACCCGACTATATATATAGGGATGTAACTTACAGCTACGGCTTGCAATAAGAACAGCAGCTGTATGGCCATGCTAAATATAGAGTCTGCCAATATTACACTCAGTTTTTGAGCATAGATTGGCCTACCTCTGCTATGTCTGTATGCAGAATCGGCAATATCCTAAAAAGAAATTGTTCTTAATACTTCTTAGAAAAACGTTTTCCAAAATAAATGGATTATTATCCAAACATTAATTAATTATATATGTTTTTGTTACGCCTGTGCTATGTGATTAATATTTTGATGTGTAAGGTATACTTATTTACTTTTATGTAAGTAAACTTTGACATCATTTAATATATCAATATTTTCATTCTTTGATAAAAGGTTATAAAGAAAACATGATATTTATCCGTAATTGTATTATTGAAAGTTAATTGTGGAACTAAGTAAGTAGATAGTGGTATGCAATCATTTAAAATTCAGAATTATTAACACAAATTAACATTATGTAAGTAATTTAGTTTTTTTTTATAAATTTAAAAGCTACGATTACCTGTTAATAAATATGCTGCTGAAAAAATATTAAATTTGCATTAATTAATATAAAATATAAAATTTGTAATTCCTTCTAACTATATGGAATTACATATTAAATTTTAGGTCAGTGCTGGTAGGACTTTTATTTACTGCTATATGTATTGAACTGAGTACAGCAATATGCTCAGATATACCATCAGGTCTATACTGTATTAATCTAGTAAATAATACGAACAACAAAATACTTATCTCTCAAAATGGGACAGATTTGCAAAAAAATAATGTACAAGTCATATATTTAAGAAACAGTTCTGGAGAAATAGATCAATATACATTTTCAAACTTCAGCATGGTGAAAAGTCTGGACATCCAATTTTCCAGCATAGATAATTTTTCATTAAAAGCTACTCCAGTTGACATTCTCTATTTAATGTACAATTTGAAATTTCCAACATTATCTGCAGATTTTATGAAGAAATGTTGTCAAAATATGAAAATTCTTTACGTAGTAGAGAATAATAGGTTGGAAATTGAAAAAGGTAAGTAATGTAGTAATTAAATAAATCTATTTAAAATTATTTTTGTTATCTATTTTTGAACTACAGATTATTTCTATTTTTTCTATATTTCTAGGAGCTTTTAAAAATATGAAAGATCTAACTCATCTTACTATATCAAAGCAAAACATTACAAATTTGTCAAGAGACTTCTTTGAGGGGTTGGAAAAACTTGCTTATCTGAATCTGAAAGAGAATGGAATTTTGGATATTGATGAGAGCACTTTTGAAAACTTAACAGAATTGAATCATTTAATCCTGAGTTATAACAATTTTACTAATTTAAAATCAAAAACTTTTCAAAAATTAAAGGTACTGGAAGTTATCGAATTGCAGGGTCTCAATTTTAGTAATTTTAATATGACAATTTTTAATAATCAGAAGGAATTAAAGGTACTGGAATTGCCAACAGAACTGATCAAGAAAAAACTGGAATTGAGTGAAATTATCGAGATATTTCCTAAACTAGAAACATTTGGATTTCAAAATGAAAATAAAGATGATTCTGATGTAGCCAAGTTCATAAGTAAATGTAAGGCAAGCGGATTTAATGTTAAATTTTCTAATAGATTTGATTTATAATGTAAAATGAAACGTTTGAATATAAGTATTTAATATTCAATAATTTTTAATATGCAGAAATTAACATATACATTTGTGGCATCTTCTGTTATTTTAATTTCAATTTATTTTCAAGAATACCAAATGCTTACCTGGAACCATAAAGCATTCACTACTTTACTCAGTAAGAATAAAGGAATGACCCAAACTGTTTGAAATATTAGTGACAAAATGGGTTCAATCCAAGACCATACTAGTTTTCCCATAAAAGAATTTTCTCCGAAAATTAATACAAATAATTTATTTATTCCGGGCAGAAGGCAATATTCAAAAACTAAAATGCTCAAGAGGAAAATACCACCATTCAATAATCCACACTGAAATATTCTTTTCATTACTTTTGATTCCCTGAAAAGCAAAGAAAACTATAATTTGGAAATTAATTCTATTTACATGCATTCATTTCTGTTGCATATGAAGTTGAAAAGAATTCATGTAGATTGCAGCGATATTGCTGGAATTAGATAAATAAAACTTACTCCTCTTTTTTTAACTGCCGCCTAGGTACGTTTTCTCCAGTATCAAAAGGTTTTTGTCTTATGGAATTTGAACGTGTTGGTGACTGTCTGGTAGACTTCTTTTCATTTATTTCTTTGTCCATTGAGAAAACTGCTAGCATTCCCCTTATACTATCGTATAAGCCTCTAAAGGTTGCATATGCAATATTCTGAAATATAAACAATGTAATTATTTTAAGTATATTTAATTAAAGTATATGGTTACCTTTATCTCCATTTTAAACAGGTTATGTTGAAATCATAGGAACGACAAAAAAAAAAGGAGAATTTGATTATAAGTTTACTTATTCAACCACCAAAATTTCATTTATTTTTATGATGCAAACAGCTGATTCAACAAACATAAATATTTGGAGTATTGGAGTGAATGAAGAGAAGAGTGAACAACAAACAACGAGTATCAGTATATCCAAACGAAGATGGAAGTTGGAGATGAAGGACAATGGAACATGGAAAAGAAATTGCCTTTACTTTATTTAGTCTTGTTTATAAATACCACAGAAATAAAGCTACTTTCCAATTGACAAATTGTACTTTGGAAGCACTTAACTTACACTTCAGATTAGATTATAAAGCGGATAAAGCCTAAAGCATCATAGATTGTAGAGTATATAGCATATACACTACACACGATATAGTTACAAATTTTCATGCTGTGATCTATCGCTCAGAAACTGCACTACATAGATAAAGAATAGCCAACTGTAATAACCTCATTTTCATTGCTGAATTAATTGAACCTTTGAGGTATAGATGGCGCTACCACCTACTATAATAAACAGTAATGTATATATTCGATTAAACTAATAAAGATTTTTCATCTTAACGGCTTAACGCCCTTAACGGGTCACTTGCAGAAAAACTGACCATCCCAGCGTGTTGCGCGACTTCTGTTGATTACGGCCCCGCCTTTAGACGATGTTTTTTTTTAAATTTTTTGACAATTTTCATGAACTCTCAAAAATTTGAAAAAATTCCAGTGGACAATGACAGCCCTGACCAACCCTAAACTGCACTCAGTTCCTCTCTAGCTCCATCAGTTTTCAAGATTTTATTTCTTAACAGAGGCATTGGCACAAAAACAGACCATCACAACGTGTTCAGCGACCTCAGTTGCGCATGGTACCGCCTGGGTGCCTGGTACTGCCTTTACATGAACACTAATTTTTTGACAATTTTCATGGATAATGGATAACCGATGGTTTTCAAAAATATTTTGAGATTTCCAGTGGAAAATAACAGCCCTATAAATTCAAAACTGCACTCAATTCCTCTCTAGCTCTGTCAGTTTTAGAGATTTCCGTTTTTAAAGAAATGAGCAAGACTTATAGTACAAGATCACGACATAGATCGATTTTCACTCATCGAGTTTTTTAATGAAATTTGAATTTTGATAATATAATAATAAATAAAATAAAAATCATCATGACAAAGGGTGATTGCAGCTTTTCTGGTCGTCTTGTACTGCTCCATCTTTACCTTCTTGAATTTCTTTTAGTCTAAAAAGGAAAAACTGAAAGTAGGTATAATCGAAAACATGCACTTAAACAGGTTACTTTGCTAGGATCATTGTTCTCATGTCTCTTGCAGAGATCGAAATCTCTCCAAAACTTGCTTAATTTCGACAGCCATCATAGAATCCATACCCAGCTCTGTTAAAGTGGAGTGAAGACTAACATATTTTGAATCCTGTACACCTAAAAAGATATCATGGTATACACTAATCTGGAAAAACTGGAATTATTACGAAATTTTGTAGATCTCTTAATTTTTCAAATTTTCATGGAATATTTTCATATTCTATTGTAATCGAATTTTATTTATATGAAGAATAAAGGAACACAGTTTTAGGTGGGAGAAAATTCGGTAACACGAGTTTTTTCTAGATGGAGATGGGATACAATAAATAAAGCCTTTTTGTTCCTGACATTCTACCTTATATCGATTTTTCCTTGAACATTCACGAAAATCACATTTTTTTCCAAATTCTAAAATAGCTCTATAGCAAATAGGCAACCAGCAATACATTTTTATAGATTGTATAACACAGCTTGTCTAAATATGAATTAACGCACAAATAACAGACTTTCCCCCATTTTAACGCAGATTTTCTATAAAATGGACTTAGTTTGAAACCCAAATATCTTTTTGGTGTAAAGAAATTTGTAATTTACGATGCTACTTGTTCAAAAGCGGCAAATTACAAATTTGTTTACAACAAAAAGTAATTTGAGTTTCAAACCAACTCCACTTTATAGAAAATCTGCGTTAGAATGGAAGAAAGTCTGTTATTTGTGCATTGATTTATATTTACACAAACTGTGTAATAAAATCTATAAAAATGTATTGCTGGTTGCCTATTTGCTATAGAGCCATCTTTAGTTCTCTACCAAAAACATGGTATGATCTTTCCAGGACCATTTTTATTGAACTTGCTCTATAATGGCTACACTATATTGTATATCCACATTTTCTGTAATCCTGTTGTAAGTTTTCGTGATCCCAAGGTTGCGGAATAAAACACAAACTTAAGCAGATGTAAACAATTTAATTTCAAAAGCAAATACAAAGCTATATAAAAGTATGCAACAGTCTAAATAAACCCTCGTTCCTTCACATACATTTAAAATCTCTCAATAATAAAACTAAATCTATATATGTATATAGAGTTTAGACGTAGTAGATGACAATAACAGATCTGGCCGACTATTTAATTAGTAATAGATTTAATAGATATATATTTATATATTTAATTAGAAACATACGTTTTGGTCTTCTTACATGTGAACAGTTACATTCAATGAGTGTAGAAGAGATACACTTAACATTGATAGTACGGCGTACTCACGTTTTAACGTGGACAACTTTTAACGCTGCTAATAAAAGTAACATCAGTCTAACTTTAGTTTTAGTACTGACTTAAGAGCAATTGCATTAAAACACATTTTTAAGCAGCGTACACGATTACCAGACACAGTTTATCGTTTTCGACATTGCTGCACTCTTTTCCGTTTCCTGGAAAGGTTTCCGGAGCGAAAAATTTTGCTTAGATGCAGCTGCTCTTAAAAATAACATGAATAAATTATCCTTTGCTTATATACTTGGCAAATATAATTGCGTGCTCACTTTGACTATAGCATCACATAAAGACAACACAGTAAATATATAAAATATTCCTTTCGTATAAATAAAAATCAACTACTTTGTTTACGACATATTATCGAGTAGTGTCTGAATATCTTAAATATTTATACTTTTCCTTCTAAAATTAAATTCTTATCACTCTAAGTATGTAATAAAATCCAGCGGAAACACAATCCAACCAAAACCAATTTAAAAAAAAAGAAGAAATAAAACTAAATAAAATCATAAAATCTATATTTAATATAATCTTATTATAAATATATAAGATCTTTTGTAATACACACAGGTAAATGTTAGAATTCAACATTGAATTGCATTGATATTGACATGTATTACAAAAAACGAACAACAAACATTGAAAAACAAAATACAATGATTAAAATAACAGCTTATTTACAAAAATTGTACGCCTACGGTACAATTTCATAAAGATTAATTAAGTTTCGGATGGAATAAAGAAATCATATAAGTGGTATATAACTTAAAAAGGTTCCTCTTGTGACATGTGTGGTTGGAGAGTTTCACTCCTTATTTGTTACAACTAAAACACCTATTGCTCCTTCTTTTCCTCGGCTTTCTTGCCAATCGGAATCGCTGCTTTTACCCTGAAAATAGATATCCCATCGTTAATTTCTGGAATATTATGCAGACATTGCCACTATTTAGAAAGAGAAAATGACAAAAACCCCAATTCATAGTTTTATAGTTATAGTGTGACTAATAGGCCAGGAAATATAGAGTTGGACGCGACTTTTTGTTTCGGCAAGCTGAATTTATCACTATAGATGCTAAATATTATGTACAAATATATTATTTTCAATCGAATTTCGCTTTTTTAATGGCAGGACTATGAATATTATCGTCAATTTCTTCGGACTCGCTGTCGTTCGCTTCCTCCACCCATCCACCGCGCCATGGCTCGCCGAAATATCAAACGACCCTCTGACTTTTAACAATATTTCTTATGCACTTAACATACTTCCAAATAACAAATAAAATATTTTTATCTGGGAAAGTACTCGGGTTGCCGGTTATGACAATATTTTTTTGCCACTACCTACCTAATTTGTTTAACAATAGGCCATCAACTTTGACAGTCTGTAACTCCGTTATTTTTCAACGAATTCTGACGATTTTTTTTAACTTAAAGCTCTTTTCATAAACTTTCCGAATATGTTAATATATAACTATATCACGCTCGTGCGTCGTATATTTCATTTTGCAACTAAGGTTATAAAATAAAAAAAATTTCCAGGTTGCAAATTTGAAATTAAAAAAAAAATGATCTCAATGTATTATTATCAAATGTACGATGAAAAAAATCAGTGCGATTAGTTAATTTATTCATAAGGCCATAACTTGTAAACTATTCAACTTACCGATTCCAGATTTCGTGTGAGTTATTAGACAGTGATAAGGAATGAGAGGATGCGATGCCAAAACATTCTGGTAATAATAATGCAGTTTACAAATGTTTAATTCAAAAGTCATAAATAAACTTCTCGTTTATAATTTTTGGTCTAATCAATATTTTTTGATGCTTGAGGGCTAGGTCTTTTGAAGACGAAAAAAAGTACAATACTGTTTGTACTCTTTTTCTCTTAGCTCTTTTTCCTGGTCTGTAAGAGAAGATCTGATAAAGATGAAAATTAAAAAAATATATATATAATTTCTTAGTATAGCATATTTACAAGGCATCAACTCAAAGTATTTAAAAAAAGTCACCAAGTGAAGTGAAAATTTGAAATAAGTAACCCAAAAAGTACCTTTTACTCCAACCGTCATAAAACGATGACATTTTTTGACTGTCAAAAGTCTCTAAGGTTGACATTTTTCTTACTGAGAAAAAAAATGGTATCTTAGCAACAAAAGTATTCCCTTTTAATCCTAGGAGCGAAAGTTGACACTTTTAATGCTTACATTAAAATTCAAAGCACAAATTAATAATTAAATGGGAGATTTCGGTTGGAGAAAAAATAGCACGTTTTATTCGCATTAAAAGTATCTTTTTTGTCTCGCAATTTTGCATCCGCTCGGCTACGCTATGCTTCGCCTCAAATAATACAAAATTTGCTCGCTACAAAAGTAACACATAACCAAGGGCGTAGCTAGAGGGGGAGCAGGGGTGTGCACGGGCCACCCCAGAAAAATAATTGGTCTATGCGCGGCTTTTTTTTTAGAATCAAATCAAAACGTCTTCTTTGATATTGGTTAGTCAATTGATGATCGCAGTTTTTCAGGCCTCCATAGAGCTTGCAGGTCTGGGCCCACCCCGAGCAAAAGTTGTAGCTACGCACAAAAAACACTACNTATATATATAATTTCTCAGTATAACATATTTACAAGGCATCAACTCAAAGTATTTAAAAAAAGTCACCAAGTGAAGTGAAAATTTAAAATAAGTCGTCATAAAACGATGACATTTTTTGACTGTCAAAAGTCTCTAAGGTTGACATTTTCCTTACTGAGAAAAAAAATGGTATCTAAGCAACAAAAGTATTCCCTTTTAATCCTAGGAGCGAAAGTTGACACTTTTAATGCTTACATTAAAATTCGAAGCACAAATTAATAATTAAATGGGAGATTTCGGTTGGAAAAAAAATAGCACGTTTTATTCGCATTAAAAGTATCTTTTTTGTCTCGCAATTTTGCATCTGCTCGGCTACGCTATGCTTGGCCTCAAAAAATACAAAATTTGCTCGCTACAAAAGTAACACATAACCAATGGCGTAGCTAGAGGGGGAGCAGGGGTGTGCACGGCCCACCCCAGAAAAATAATCGGTCTATGCGCGGCCTTTTTTTTAGAATCAAATCAAAACGTCTTCTTTGATATTGGTTAGTCAATTGATGATCGGAGAGTTTTTCAGGCCTCCATAGAGCTTGCAGGTCTGGGCCCACCCCGAGCAAAAGTTGTAGCTACGCACATGAATATAACAATATACTATTTTTGTAATATAATTAAAAAAACACTACTTAACATTGACAACCTTCATGAAAACCTGCATGAATATATAGAGTGTTCCAGAAATAATAAGTGCCAAAATTTTAACTACATATTTAACTTATCAAAAGCGATAACTCTCATCTATGAAGAAAAATATATATGGATGACTACAACTAATTAATAAATTTGTGATATGGAGCAAAATCAGTAGAATTATTATGCCTATTGAAGAAAAAAAATGTGTAAATAAATTTTTTCTTCTCTTTACATCGGAGAATAAAGGCGTTTTATTTTTTAATTTGCAGCATGGCAAAATACTCAAAAAAAAGTGAAACTAAGTATGTACTAATTAATATTTCAAACAGTTAAAAATGCTACAAATATCGAACAGTATCTGCAAACTGTAAAATTTGTCATTTATGAGGCTTATTTTCATGCTACGCCAATAACTGAAGAAATTACTCACTTGGATGAAATTTCAGCTAATTTGGTTCTCACAAGTTCCAAGTTGGCATCGATTTGTTTCTTGTTTGTCTCGTAAACTTTTGGAAGAGTGAAAAGGGCGACCCAAGCTAAAAAAGAAAAACAGCAATTTAAACTAAAAATAATACCATAGATAAAGGAAATTATACAGATAACAGGGTAAATTAAAATTTACCTTACTTTAGTTTCACAAATAATTAGTTTCTCCAATATTAGAATTTCATACATAGAACTTTATATCAATAAAAATGTTGGAAACAACGAACTAATTTTGGATATATTTTATTTTATAATTATAATACTCCAAAATATTTTTAGAAGCTTACTTGTACTGCAATAGACAATGTTCATGTTTCATTCGTTAAGTAAGATCAGTACCTCCCTCTTTTCCTTTTCGTTCATATAATTTAATAACGAGAGACAGTTATTCTTAAATAATAACTTTCAAGTGTGTAAACACTGCGTGAGCAAGTGTAGATTAAAAAAAATCTATTCAATGCGATAAAAGATCTTACCGATAATGATGAGGCTCATTCCATTAAACCAGGCGCCCAAGTAGGTGAGGGTCCATAAGAGAACGCCGAATTTGATAGAATCCACAAGGTCCTCAACGAGGAACAACCTGCGCAGTTCCACAACAGCAGCATTGATATGTGCCACTGCCACCTCCGAGATTTCCCTCACTTTGTCCTGGGACAGAGAAATGTCCATCTCCAAGATGTCTTTGAAAGGATGTCCATCGCCAGTCTTCTGTACAGCCTGTACTATGTTCCTGTAGATCCTGAAGGCTATGGTGCCCGTTAGACCGATAAGAGAGAGATATGCTACCACACTGATGAGGGAGAAGTATGAGAGGGCCAAGAGGACCACTAAGACTCCCCCAAAGACAGGTCCAGACTTTTTAGGATTACGCCAATAAATTAAACTCTCCACTGGAAAAGAAAACGTTTTAAGTGAAAAATACAACAGCTAGTAATGTGCATATGTATATATCAGAAACACTTATTTAATACATATAATAAGAAATATACAAAAAAAAAATAGTATGCCCAATGGGCATATTAAATTAAATTGTGGGTCAAAAAAAAATTACTTTGGTATGTATGTATGTCGGTGTTTATTAATTATTCTTTAAAATCATATTGCTAGCAAAATATTTCAGGTGTATACTGCATGAAACTCGTTTTTTAATTCATGTAGATTGTATATATTGTCAGCACTGGTGACTCTTTTGTATTCTTTTCTTAAAGGGTCTTATGTTCTAAATCGTAAATGGTTGTTCACATAACTGGCAAATACAACTGGTAAAACAACCAAGAACCAGTTACCTTGATGCAAACAATAATAATAACATCTCAAATACGGTCCCTAGCATATCCCATTGTTCTAAATGCATCTTGTTGTTGAATGTCAATTTCCAGTTCAGTATAATAATAAAATGCACGAGATTGAATTCTCTGCAAGTACAAATTCCAAAATAAATTAGATATGATTACCAACTTTTAATTTCATAGTTTCATGACAAAGCAGCTAAAAATTAGAATAAAGGTAAAAAATTAAGGAAATTTTTTATTTGTTTTATGAAATAATGAAAACTAAGTATACAGGGTGTGGCATTAGTGCGTCGAAGTACGATATCTCCGTTATTATAGAAGATATCAAAAAATGTTATTTGCAAAAGTTGTAGCCAACTTAAAACTACACATTTTAAAATTATTTTTGTATATACAGTGTTACGTACACATTACCAGGGTGAATCAAACATACTATTTTTAAATGGGACACTATTATATTATTTCAAATTTTGATTAAACTCATCTCTCAAAAAAATCATATTATAAGAAGTTGGTTAATATTATAAGAATTTCGTTTTAACAACGGATATTTTGTAATGTTTTATAACAATTTGTCACACTGTCATTTGCGCACGGCCAACTTGTTATAATAGGAATTTTTAAATCTCTATTGTTGTTATTAAATGGTAAATATCTCAGAAATTAATGATTTTAGCTATAGGGAATGCTTTATAAAAATAAAAGAACAAAAAGTGTAATTTCAGTTTTTAAAATAAAATGCAGGGCGATTCATTTAAAAAAATTGAGAAAATTATGTGCTCGAGTTTTGGCTCGCCCTATATCAGCTGTTGCAATAATAAAGATGTATAAAACTGTACCAATATCAAAAAGTTATGCCTGCAAAAAATTATTGTTAAGCTGTTTTGTTTAGGGTATAATGATTCTTGTATATAACTGACCGTAACTTTTGAAATACCCTATATAACATAATTAAACCCTATATTGAAAACATGGGAGAGATGAGCTTAATCTAAATTTGAAATAATATATAGGGTGTCCCATTTAAAAAATAGTATGTTTAATAGTTTATGTATGTAACACCCTGTATATACAAAAATAATTTTAAAATGTGCAGTTTTAAGTTGGCTACAATTTTTTTAAATAACTTTTTTTGATATCTTCTATAATAAAAAGGAGATATCGTACTTCGACGCACTAATGCCGCACACTGTATATTTTTAGTAAAAAAAAAAAAACATGACTCCATAGAAAATATATTTTTTCATTATTCAAAACTTATTTACCATAAAATAAGCAATAAGTTCTAAAAAAAATGTAAATAAAACACAATAAATTGCGTTGAAATCAACTAAATATGTAAATATTAAAATGTACATAACAAAACTAGATTCTATATAGTTATATTATAATGCCAAATTCTTTATTATGCAATTATGTTTACTTTTTTACGTTAAATGCAAACATACAAACGTCATCGTCGAGAATCTGGCTGTTTTTTCAGAACGCGATTGCCGGATTGTGTAAAAATATTGTTTATATCGGGAAAATATACACTGGTGTAAATTTAAGAGCAGAAAACTGATGAAAAATTTTTCACTATTATAGTGGACGTCCACAGAAATGCAGGAGGGTTGACAACAATTGTGTTGTGAAACTCATAATAACTTATTAAACCCTTTAAAGAATTATTTTTTTGTTAATTTGACTCGTATGACCCGCCATTAACGCTATACCAAACATTTCCTTGTCTAGGAAAAAATGATTAGACGAAAAACTTATTCCAAATTATTTTAAAAAATTTCAGCAAATAGGAAAAATTTTGTTTTTAAGGTTTTTAATGAAAAAAAATTAAATAAAAGGGTCACCTTCAAAAATACATCAGTACCCAGAAAATCACACTTAATCCACTGATATTTAGAATGCCCCAGTTATTAAAAAAGAAAGTGGTTGAATATGAATTTATTAGCGAAACATTTCAATGTACCTATTTACACATACGAAATTAAGAGTAGAAAATTTGGCTATCTTAACTGGTTTTGCATTGATTCACATAAAATGAATTGCAAAAATGTATAATCTGGCACGCTTTCTTAACGACGGGTCGCGTATCTCTGTCTTTATCTAAAAATATTTTTAAGTCTATCAGTCATGTAAATAGATATAAAAAAACCAATGGTTAACGCTGTTAATATGTTTCATTTTTGCCAGACAGGAAGAGTAAGTTCCAATTAATATTATTGGTTCGCAGCCAAATTAGCTTCGACAAAAGCTTTATCTTCTACTTTATTTTCTCTTTCACAAATTACATCCGCGAAATACGAAATTACTTGGGTATTCCTGCACAGTCATCGAAGGGCAACAATGTTATTGTTGCCAAATAATACGCCAGTTGATTCGTAATTTGATACACATACCATATTTTCCATGAACCTTAATCAATGCATATTGATGCAACGGAAAATTATGTAACACGATATGTTTAAATTCGAATCACTGCATACAGAGTGGCCCACTTTAAATCTGAACATTCTGATAAAGTTATATTTATTTTATCGATTTCGACCACTTCTTTATAGATAGAATACAAAAACTGTACTTTCTACAAAACGTCACATTTTATTTTTACTAATCAACACCTACCGCGATTTAATGTAATTAATTTTACTATTTGTTTTTTGTTTATTCCTTGGCTTACTTACTGCAATAATAAAAGCATGATAATATTTTTATTAATAGATTTATCTGCAATAATTTTAAAATGTCGTTTTTTTTTTTATAAAACTCGCTTATTGCCTATTAAAAGTGCTGAGTATAAAACTGAGTTCAGATTTTGTACAAAAAATAAAATCGCTGACAGAATTTCTTTAATTTTAACCCACAAAAAAAGTCGAGGTAGATAGCAAAAATAAAGTATTTCGTTGAAAGGTACAGCTTTTTGTTTTATCTTTAAAAAAACTAAAACTAAAATTTAAAAGAAAATAATAAACTACTTTTATCAAGGTTTTCAAATTTGAAACGGATCACTCTATAGATTACACTGCGACTGAATCAAAAATATGTTATTAACAGTTCCTTTAACAGGTAACAGTAATTTTACGTAGAAAAATGGATACTACAAAATTTACAATAATTACCTATAAATTTTTATAATACTTATGTAATGAGCAGCAAATGTAAAATTAGTTACTGAAATTTATCAAGATGGTTTTTTAATTCTCCTTGAAACAGAGTGAATTGATAAGTGACCAAAATCATAAAAAATCTACTTTTAATTTTTCTTTCTCAGATTCCATTGACTGATTCCCTTTAGTGTTCAATTACTAGACCTGAACATAATCAGCTATACACATCGGCTTCGTAATATCTATCAGGTGTTACGATTTAGCAGACAATGACTATATCAAAATAATATGTATATACACTGTTTCACTTTTCATGGAGACACCCTTATACCACTCCAATGAAAATTGAAAAATTTTCACAAATTTACACGAAATAATTATACAAAGCGATTGTTTGTTCTGATATAACTAAATTTGATCTTAGTCTCAGGCGTCTGGTTCAAAAATTAAAAAAGGGATGGATTTTTTACATATATTAGCGATTTTTTTATCTACGAGTTAAAACTATACCTATTTTTAATATATTTAAATGGAATGGTTATAAGAATTGTGAATCAGCCAGCCCCTAAGATACATTAAAGAAAAAAAAAACTCATGACTTCGTTATCCGTGCAACTGCCATCTTGAGCAAATTTAAATACGTTTTATTTAAATGTAGTACAGATGAGTTTCTAGGGATGACAAATTGGAATATATTACTAATTTTCAGATAAAAAAATCGCTAATATATACATGTATTTCTAAAAAGTCCACCCTCTGATAATTTTTAAACTGGACGCCTATGACACAATGTTTTTTTTTTCAATTTAAAATAACCGAGATACGGGAGAAAAGGGAAACATGATGATAGGTAAATGAAAAGTCAACTAGTCTCCTATAAACTCAGTTACTACTTTTCAAAGGCATATTATTTTAATAGAACATAACAGTGCCACATGGAACCACGTGCCATTATCCACGTGCTTAATTGACGAACAAAAAAAATTATCAGAGTAACGTAGATAATTAAAACGAAAGGAAAAGTCTCATTTACAAATGCTGGTCGCTGTGCTCGACTGTATAATAAAGGTAACCAACCATAACCTATAACGAACGGACCCATACCATATGTCGTCGATCGTATACACAGGTAGGAGTTAGGAATAGATGTCGAAAAGTTTCAATTAAATCATAGAAATCTTACCGGATCCCTTTTCGGTAAGAGGCTCGGACTCCTCTTGGTACCTATTCTGTTTACGTCCCATTGTGATTTATGAAATAAAACTAAAAAAAACGTACTCGAAATACCCTACAAGTAGCACGCCGAAGCACTCAACGAAGAAAAGACGGCCGCGTCGCGTTGTGCGAGAAAAGCAAAACGTGGTGTGGCGGTTGGCTCCGTCTCACTCCCATTCACGAAATTCGAGTGATGTAACGAACATTAGAAAGTAGTTACGTGAAGAATACTTGTAAGATATCTACATGTGGCGTTCTACCTCCAAGTTGGAACCTTGG